TTAGTCTTTGAAAATCACTCTGATATTTTCTTTTTCGTTTCTATTCTACTTTATTAAATGATGGTTGTAATCTCCTAACTTGACTTCACAATCCATTAACAAGTTGTGATCCACAATTCGAAAAACGTTGATCAATGATATGAATCCTTGAGACATAAACTCAAAGATGTGAATCTTTGAGCCATAAACTCAGAGGTTTCAACCACTACAGTGATTTCATAATCCACTAACAGGGTGATGACCCACAACTTAAAAAATGATTTAAGATATGAGTTTTGGTGCATAAACAAAAAAGTGATGCTTCTTTCTGTATTTATAAACTATTCAGGCTTTTTATCCTGGAGAGATGAAAACTCAAAAAATACCATTACAGTCATGCCTTTGATTATGCACTTTCAAATTAGGAACTTGCATAATTATAAGCAAGGCGACACACTAGAGTAAAAGCAAGTCAACTCTACCCACCACCACCAGATGGCAGTCTCAAAATTGGAAACTCAGTTTTCAACACTGACTCAAATCGGTAAGACCATTGCTCTTACCAGAATTCCTCTCGACCATTTCAGCAAGTATATAATAAGACCTCAGTTACTGTTTTAGTACACAGACAAAAGTAACAAGAGTAGCATTCTGACTTTTTCCCCTTCTTCCCCTGCTATGGCCAAGCAGTTGGCTGGCTCCGTTGGTGATAATAAAGTCCTGAATTTGTTCCTTCCACAAAGAGTAAGCTTGGGAATGGTATTAGGCAAACAGAACATTTGGAACCAGAAGACTGGGATCCTAGTTCCAGTTAAAGAGATACTAAGCAAAATCTGACCTCTTTAAACTTAGTTTCTTGAAGTGTAAATAAAGATAAGACCACCTCCCCAACGCCACAGAGGTGTTATAAAGATATGGACACACTGAAAATCTGTATACCACTCTAGAGATATTTGAGAATGTTGTTACACTTAAATTATATTATCCCATGTACTGAATTTCTATCTAAAAATTAGCCATCTTACAAGTATGTGCAATTAGAGCTTAGGAAAAAGAGTAAATGGAGCATTATAATGTATTACTTGTACTAGAAAAATTACACAAAGACTATTTCCTAATAGCAATTTTAAGAGTTTACTATTTTTTTAAAAAAAGCACTGAACTCTTTATTTTGATAAATTGACAGAAGCAGATTGTAGAAGAATAATTTTATCATATGAAGACCTGGTATCAATTATAATGAGGTCTCCAATAAAGCCATTGCCCTGCTGCCCTCTGCTAATCTCTGTCCAGACTCCTTAGAGTAGATGGATTGACTGGCCAGAGATCATCTATTGGCTTCCCTTTGCTCTTTCTCGATTTCTTTATCACTCCTCTCTGATAAAACTCATCCTCTTGACAGGTAAACCAATCTGTGCATGCCCATCTGTATATATTAATTGCCCAGATGGGTTTGCAGAACACA